ACTTTGAATTCCTTTACTGCCACATGGGGAATTCCAAATGGTAGCTAATGCTTCCTTAAGCTTCAACATTGCGCAATTCTAAGCAGCTATTGCCTTTAAACTCCACTCAAAGAGGTAAACGTCAGGATGCCAGAGCTTCTCCATGATCAAACTTTACCGGCTTCTTGGTGAAAGGGAAAAGGATATGATGTAGAAAGTACTGTTCTTTTTCAAACTTTTATACTCCTTTTTTGGAGATAAAATACCCTTTCTTGGGCCAGGGATTTAGCTTGGTGGTTTCGCTGCCTGCTGCGCAAGCGCAAGGACCCGAGTTTGATCCCCAGTACAAAAAAAAAACCAACTTTCTTTTATGACCTCATTGGGCTATCACTACGTGTTTGCTTAGTTGTCTAGATTCTTGGTTGACAAAATAAAGTTAGAAAACCAATGTCGGCTTCCAATCTTTTGTTGTTGAAATTGTACAGGCCCACAGGAACCAAACCGCTAGACTCACTGTGCGAACCCCTGCACCTGAAATTTCCCAAGCCTCCTCCTTGCCAAGACCGAAGGGTGGGTTATTCATTTTCTCACACTGCATACATGCATTGAAGAAGCACATGGTGAATCTTAAACTGTGAGGAAGTCTGCTCTTCTTCAGACTTCATTTTTGCTCAGTAACTCTGGATACTGAGCCCAGGTTCTGGCAGATACAGCAAGCTTGCAGAAGAGCAGCCGGCTGGTATTCATAGCAGTCCCCACATTTAACTGCCCGGCAATTCTGCCGTGGCTGAGCACTCGGAGAGAAGATTCCGTGAAGTCTGTGGGCGGTGCCCACATCCAGGTGTAACCTCAGCACGACAAACTGGTGTCTGCTGGCTGGTTGTTGCCGGACTTGTTGCTTGGTTCTGCTCTTTCACACTTTACCTGCTGGCAGCCAGGATCAGCAGTTACATTCATTTGCATTTTCTTCACTAGAGGTTCATTTGTGTTAAGCCGATATTTGTTATTCATTGGAGCAAATTAAATATGCAGAGGTAAACAAACCTCCTCTGGGGGTGCTGAGCATGGGAAGCTATTTAAGAGAAGGTAAATGATGACTTTCAGTCTCTCCCTAACTTTGAAAAATTGTTTAATTTATAAATAATAATACTTAGTAGAAGTTCTCCTGCTTCTAAAAATAAAACTGCAAAGTGTTTCTTTTATTCCTCAGCCTTTTTTGCCCAGTGTCCAACTCCAGTTATCACTGTTACTAATGGCATGTTTTTCCTTCAAGGATTTTTTTTATGCACTTACTAGCCAAAAGAATTTTTTTCTTTTTTATACAAATAGTGGGATGTTGTACATAGCATTCTGCATCATGCTTTGTTCACTTAACAATTTGTCTTAGAGATCTTGCCAAGTCGATACATAATAAGCATCCTCATTCTTTTTAAAGCTGCATAATATTCTGTTTTATAACTAAATCATAATTAACTTGATAGTCCTTTTCTGAGGGTACATAGATTGCTTTCAGTTCTCTGTGGTTACACATAGTGCTTCTAATAAATAACCATACACAAATGGGTTGTTTTGCTAGTTTATCTGTAGGATGACTTACAAGCATAATAAATGCCATCTCCTCTCTGATAGAATCTTAGATTCCCAACTGTATATGAGAGAAACTCCAACAGAAAAGTGCAACATGAGTGTTTTGTCTTCCCTTTTTAAATGTTGAAGGAAATCTGCTCTAATAGAATAAATTACTTGGATTATATGAGACAGAAAATAAAAACAAAATGGAGGGCAAAAGAAA